ACTTCCTCTTGCTGCTTTTGTCCAGATAATAAATAATAACAAGGAAGTCTTCAATGTTCACACTAAGCTGTCTGGATGCCCTCTCGGCAGCAATGTGTATCAAGTGTCAGGCACATCCAACTAGGTAGATGTGTGGATTCTGAGACTTCATAAAAGCTGCTACACCTTTCCCCAAGCCTTGCATGACTGCAGCGTTGCCAGCTGCAAAGCGGACACAGTTTGACCACGGTATGCCTCTCTCTTCTTTAGCTCACCGTCAAGCATTTCAAATATTGCTCTTCCAGTAGACTCCCTAGATTCACAAATCTTGAGCAACATCACAGTGACCCTCCCAAGGTTAGGATCAAAACTCCTCACCACAATGGGGTACATTTTTATGTCCTCCATATCTGTGCTCCCATCTGTAGCAAAACTGTACGGGGACTGCTTCATTATTTCTGTGATGTTGTCAGTATCACTCCTAGCCAAAGTGTTTACAATGTTTGCTCTTTGTTCTGGCACAGCTGTGTTGTTTGGCTATTTCACTGTCTGGAAACATCATCTTGAATGGAGGTTCTGCATGGTCTGCAGCACACAATGGCAAGTTATGTACTATAAATGTGGTGAACATAGTTTCTGCCCGAACTGGTCTCAAATCACTCGCTTGATGAAAAAATGACAGCATCTGTACTGGCCACAATCTTTAAATGTTTTTTGCCCTCCACATGGCGTCGACAGTCTGCAACACACACACACACACACACACACACACACACACACACACACACACACACACACACACACACACACACACACACACACACACACACACACACAGTTTCCTTTACCAGAACAGCAGTGAGTGGCGAACCGGAGGGAGAGAGGAGCAGCGGGCAGGACGAAGCAGGGAGGAGGAGGGCGGAGGTGTAACGCTATAGGTTAGGCGGGATAGTTTTTCTCTGCTTTTTTACAATGATTGGATTAAAACTTCTTCACCACGCCGCTGAGTCGTGTTGTCAGACATGAGTACCACATGTGCATATTTGCCACAGAACTCAAGTCACGTATCTGCAGCTTTTTGCGTAGTTTAGAGGGGTGAGCCGTACCCGCGTAAATAGATGCCAAATTGCATACTAGCTATGCAAAATGCGTACAGGTTGGCAGGTCTGTGTATATATACATACACACACACATATATATATATATATATATATATATATATATATATATATATATATATATATATATATATATATATATATATTGGCCTTAATCAACATATCAGCCATCGGCAACAAAATTCTTTAAAAAAAAACACATCGGTCGGCCTCTAGCATGGACTCATGGGACTCATCTTGGATGGGGATGAGTCTGCCTACAGAATGGAGGTCGAACGGTTGGTGTCCTGGTGGAGCCACAACAACCTGGTGCTAAACGTCCAGAAGACAGCGGAGGTTGTTGTGGACTCTAGGAAGCACACAGACCCACTTCCCCCATAACACTGTCTGCTACTCCCATCACGATGGTGGACTCATGTCGTTTCCTGAGCACCACCCTCACCCAGGACCTCAAGTGGGAGCCCACCATCACCTCCATCATAAAAAAGGTCCAGAAGGATGTTCTTCCTGAGGCAGCTGAAGAAATTCAATCTATCAGCATAGTCAATGAGACAGTTGTACACCGCTAACATCAATACCATCCTCCCCTTCTCAGCTGGAGCTACCATCAGGGATAGGAAGAGACTGCAACATGTTGTGTGCTCTGCTGAAAAGGTCACTGGCTTCAAACGCCCCTCCATACAGGACCTGTACACCTCCAGGACATTGAGGCATGCATGCAGGATCACAGCTGACCCGTCTCACCCTGGACACAGTCTCTTCAATTCGCTCCCATCTGGCAGGAGGTTCAGATCCATTTGGACCCGAACCTCTCACCACAAATACAGATTCTTTCCTTCTGCAGTTGGTCTCACGAATGTCAATCGTAGAAGTGCCCACTCCAGCTGCTTTGCTCCAGTCACATGACCCTGTGTTGAGTTTGTATCTGAACTGATCCGCTCTGACCAGTACCTACACTGACTTGTATATAATAGCCACGTAATTATTGCCTCCTTATGTCCTTATGATTTCATTGTTTGTTTCTTAATTCTAATTTTTGCTCATCATTTATTTCTCCTTGCACCAAGCCCCACAGCAATTCCCTAATGTTGTGATTTCTCACATATATGGCAATAAAACCCTTCTGATTCTGAGTGACGTTCCATGGCAGGAGTGTCAAACCCAAACGCCCACGTGGCCAAAACGATCGGTCCGACTCAACATCAAACTCCAATCAGTTTGTTGCAGGATGACTTAAATGTCTTGTGTTTTTTCCTTATTTCTTGAGTCAAAATGTTCAAATACCAACATTTTTCAAAATTAAAATTCTTTTTGTTGTTTCATTTTTTAACATTGGCTTGCACATATGTTGCATGTTCTGGTGTATTCCGAGTTTTAGGTTCAGTATATACCCAAAGCTGGGCTATAACACATATATTATAAAGCTGGACTTGGGAAAGTAGGAATAATTTACATCCTCAATGTAATTTACCTTAGATTATGTAGTGTCTCATGTCAACAAGCTCTTTCATGATGGAGTCATTGAAATAAACCTAATCTTTTTTATGTATAGATTTTTTTAATGTCTTTTCTGTTCTGCTTTAATGTCTGAGTAGCTGCCCCGATTTATCTGCTAACCTCGGGTGAATTGTCCTAAAAACAACTTTTCTTTGGTGAGAATGTTAAAGAGGCAACATAAAACAAAAAAACCCAATTCCACATCTGAAATACCTTAAGGAGCAGCTGTTTCTTCTCTTTCAACTGACCCAATAACTGGGACTTGCTCTTATTTCCTAGAAACCAGACTATCCCACTCTACATTTATTCAGCTTGGTAGCCTGGAAGCTCCTGATCTAAAAAGCACGACCTGACCTTGATCTAATGTAGATATGCTTTTATCTGCTCTGAGTAGCACAACTTGCCCTTCAGCTTGATGAGTGTTTAAACCAGTAATAACTCGCAACAGTCATCTTTTCTTTTCTAAATGATAAAAACAAAAGCAGAAAACCTCTCAAACACAACCTCAGAAAGTGTTTAAGACAACGAATTCCATTTCAGCATTTTAAACATTTTACTATTTAGGTCCACAGTCAAAACCTCCCTTTTTTTATGTACTACAGCCTACTACCCACTTTTGCTCACTGTAGTGTGTAATCATTGGCCTTGTCTTGTCAAAAGGACCCAGGAGCTCAGAGTTTGATGTGTGGTGAGCTTACACCCATCCAGTCTGGTGCAATAGCATCACATTTAATCTCTCAGGATGGTTGGCTTTTGGAGATTCTGCAGGTAGAATTACTGGAGAGTGTGAGTTAAAGTGAAGTTCTGATTTGGACACGGATTTATGTTATGAGGAAAGAAATGCACACTCGCCAAATCAATGTGTGCAGCAGTGGCGGCTCGTATATGGGGGCGCTAGTGCGCCATCCCACCAGTCTCACTAGAAGAGGAAGAAGAAGGTAGGAATCACAAAATACATTAAAAACACAAAAAATAAACTAAACAATTTATACAGTCTATAGGCGCTGTGCATAACCTGCATTTAAGCGTAGTTTAAAAATGTTCTCTCACACTTTAGACATGATCCAATCATCTTGTTTTGCATTTCCTGTTCCTTTTTGGGCGCAGCAATCTTTACCGTAGATCTACGCTACAACTGGCGCATGCGCGCTGGATACCCCTCCAACATAAAGAATAGGAGAGCTTTTGGGCGCAGAGATTTGCGACTGAAACATTTGCAGAGTCTCAGCTCAGGATGCAAACCATTCATTTTAATTATTATTTTTTAATTTATGTTTCATTCTTTAGCTCACCATTTTTTTTTATTGTAGAGCAGCTGACTACACCTTGTGGAGTTATTTTAATATGGAGAATCGATAAATGATGGAATGTAATGTCAAAGACAAACACTCTCCAAAACAGCCACTAAACAGTCAGGAATCAGCTCAGTGTGACGTTGGGAGAGAGCATGGACGTAATTTTGGGGGGGGGGGGGGGACATGTCCCCCCCACTTTTTCCAAAGTCAAGTTTTGACCCCTGCACTTTTTACCATCCAAAAACAATATTACTTTATATTGAATTGACACTGGTTGAGCTCTAGGACCAAGCAGAAAACAACCGTTTGTGTTGAAGCCTGTTTCCTATTAGAACATACTGTAAAGATACCCCCCACCCCCGTGTCCCCCTCACTTCTAAAGTGAAAATTACGTCCATGGGAGAGAGGATTACGTGAACAACGTATTTTTGTTTTACTATAACACGGGTTATTATGACCATAAACTAGCAAAGGTAAGACTGAATCTACACTTTTGACTTAATGAAATTAGTTTTATTTTGCTTTTCGTTTAGCAGCTTATTATCAATGGGTATGGGTGAGGTAGAAAACATAGATTCTATCCTTTAAATGAGCCTATTCCCATTCAGTATGTGTGCAGTTTGAACATATTGGTGAAATTTTAGTATGTTTTTTGAACAGCTTTGTTGCTGGAAGTGCTCGTGGACCTGGTACTGGGTAAAATTTGTATGTTGCATAAGAATGGTAATTTGGCATCCCCTAGTGGTGATATGTGGTTGGAGCATCTGACAACTGACTTGCAAAAATGTGTCCCACCAAACAAAAAATTCACCAGCCGCAATGTGTGCAGAAGTAATAAAAACGTTGTGTATGTGTGTTTTATTTTTACAAACGCACGCGCACACACGCACGCATGCACGCACACACACACACACACACACACACACACACACACACACACACACACACACACACACACACACACACACACACACACACACACACACACACACACACACACACACACACACACACACACACACACACACACACACACACACACACACACACACACACACACACACACACACACACACACATCAAAAAATTACACCCAAGCAACAGAGATTGGTTGCAAAATGACTGTGTGTGTGTTTGTGTGTATATGCACATTATGTGTTTTGCCTGTGACAGTGGACAGAATACACCTGCACTGTCCTCGCTATCTGTTAACTGCCCAGAACATTACCACTAGAGGAATTCGGTGCATGCCCCAAGCTGTTTTCTGTTGATTCATGTTCCTGCCAAGTGGAGGATGTGAAAAGAATAAGTCTAGAGCTAAAAACTGAGCTCTGAAAGACCCCAAAGGTGATGTGTCCTGAAAAAGATAAAGCACTGACTATTATAATAACGCAAGTGAGCCAACACTCTCAGAGATGGCTGAGATTATTGTGTTTCTACAAAGGCAAGACTGGCTTACCAGAATTTCACTCCAAAATGGTGACAAAGACACAATTTTTCTTGAAATAAAATACATTGAATTAGCCCTTCTTATGACATCTACATTTTCAAGATTTCTCCTGAATCTGTTTCTAGAGAATGCTAAGAACACAGAATCAACTGTCAAGCACGGTGGTGGTTGCATCATGCTGTTGGACAAAGTGGATGGAGTGATACTGAAGGAGGGCTCTGTTCAAGGCTTTCTATTTCACATGAAACAATCAGCCAGGTGGTTCAAATTTAAACCAATGCAGGTGTGTGAACAGAAAAATGACCCCAAACACTCAACAGAATTTGTTTCTAATTGGATTAAACAAAATAACATCAAGCTTCTTCTCAAAGTCCCAACTTCATCCCTGATGAAAATTTGTAGACTGATTTAAAAATGAATTGGTGCAGAAAACAAACCTATTTGATATATTCTACCAATTCTGCCAAAAGAGTTAAAGAGAGCACCCTGAACCCAAATAAAAGTGGGGGTGAAGGTTTGGCTTTTGTGGAAAAGGGATAGCCCACAATAAGCTAAAACATTTTAACCTACTTTTTTTTTTTGATCTATGAAATTGTATGTTGTGTGATCTCATCACCCAGGTAAAAAAATCAGTCTAAATTCAAAATTATTCTCACATTCATGCTCATGATGACTGAGACTGAAAGAGAGGCCAGATCTGTGCCATCTGTTGTTTAACTCCATCCCATTAGTCCCATTAGTCATCACACACTGGTGAAATTCATCTTCACATTTGACCCATCCGCGTAGGGAGCGGTGAGCTGCAGCAGTGGCTGCGCTTGGGAAGCATTTGGTGGTTTAACCCAAGTTAGAGTCATACTCCTAGACATTTCTAACCATTGGTGTATTTTCCTAACACTACTATTCAACCAAAGATGGTCCCAGGAGGTTTCTAAGGGTCCTACAACAGGTATACAAGCCACTTCAGACAATCAAGCATTGAGCCATTTGGACGCAGTTGTCCAGTGAGACCAAAACGTGCTCATCTTGCTATATGATACAAGCTGTCAAGTCAACTTCATGCTGATCTAAAGAAAAATAAACAGAGCCCAAGGTGGTTAATTAGAGCTGCATGATTAAATATGCCAAATGTTGAACGAGGTCCCATGACAAAGTCCAGCATCGTCTGTATAACAGAGGTCATTCAAGGGCTCAGAAAGTTCCTGCAGTAACAGAGCGGACTTTGACTCAGAGCATCTCAGTGCTTTATGCTTTAGGTGATGTAAGACCGTGTCATAAAGAGTCATCATTCCTGCTAATAAAGACTGCTCTGTGGTTGGATTGTCCCTGCAGTTACTGTTTTTGCTGCACAGTGACATGAACAGGGTTAACCGCCATGGACATCAGCTATTTCCTAATCTGCCTCTGCTTCAGTTGTCCAACCAACATATTAAAAATTCAGCACATAAAATGATCAAAACTAAAGATGTAAACAATCGCAACTGTAATAATAATAATAATAATAATAATAATAATAATAATATGTAATGTAATCATAACTTTAATATATATTCTCTGCAGCACTTAAGAAATACTCACCATGTCTGTGTCAGACACTGGACCAAAACTTGTCACATAGATGTTGGTCCTCACTTCTGTCACAGTTTCTGAGGAAAGAGACAAACATCACTTTATGATCTGAGTACAGCTTTAATACCACAAGGTTTACTGCTGCTTTGTCTTTTATTTAAAGTTTGGTTGCCATGATCAAAAACTCCTTACACTGAAAAATCTATTTTGAGGCAAATGAAGCATTTCAATTCTCAGCTTTTGGATACTTAAAGCACATATTGACCTAACTTGTCAATATTTGTACAAGTGTTTTGATAATGTGTCATGGATTTCATCAATATGTTTATCAATAAACCCATTTCCTGGAGTCGAAGAGAAAAGGGACAAGAAGCAATGAGGCAGACATACAACCAAATCATGATTTTGTGGCAAGTGTGCAGGGCAAATGCCCTGAACAGCTGGTCACAGAGTTTATTCAAGCAAAGAGATAAGAGAGGAATGGGAGTGGATCATGTGTGAGAGAGAGTGAATGTGTGTGTGTGTGTGGGAGGACAAGAGTGTGTGTGTGTGTGTGTGTGTGTGTGTGTGTGTGTGTGTGTGTGTGTGTGTGTGTGAATGCTTTCAGAACAGTCAGTTAATAGATCTGTTAATAGGACTAAAGTAATGAAATATAAAATTTCCATAACATAATGGTTCTAGAAATGTTTTGTTTGATTTGGATTTTATTAAGTTCTTTTCTGTATCAGTAATTTAGTTGTGTATTGTACCTTACTCGATTTATTTTTTCTGCCTCCCCATCCCACATGTTCTTTATCACATACCTGCACAGCTGGATTCCATTCATCATCATCATCATCATCATCATCACCATTTTATTTACAGAGCACATATAAAATTCAGCACGAGACCTGACTTAAGTGCTTCACCGGCAAATAGAGAAAAGTAACAAGCATAAAATCAAAATAAAGCAATAAAAACTCAGATAAAACATTAAAACAAAAGCAAAAAAGCAAATCACAAACTAAAAGTCAATCCAGAAGCTTAAATTGTACCCGGAACACAACCAGAAGCCAATGTAGATGTGTCAGGACTGGAGTAGTGTGGCTACGTCAGTTTGTTTTCGTCAGAAACCTAGAAACTGCATTCAGGGTGACCTGTTGATGATTTAGAGCTGAGCTTGGAACTCCAATTAGGAGTGCATTTGCATTGTCTAAACAAGAGGTTATAAAAGCGTGTAAAACGGATTCCAAATGCTGTCGCTTTAAGATTTCATTAACCTATGATCCACCTCCATATATGGTGTGTGCTTTTGGATTTTTGATGGTCAGTCCCAACTTTTAACATCTGCCCGGTGGGGTTTTCTGAACAAGTCCAACCAGTAGGAGGCCTAAAGGAAGACCCAGGACATGCTGGACGGACTATAGGGAGCCTAAGTCTCCTCCCGTTCCAGTCGGCTCACGAGTCCACGGAAGAACAAAAAAAAAAAAAAGAATGAAAGTCAACGGGGCTAAAAGAGCTATTTTCTAATCCGCTTTGCCTTACGCCCCTGGATCACACATGTGTACTTATTGTACTTGCACATTAAATGAAAAGTGACATTTATCAGCTTGTAAAAGTTCGTAATTAGCATGACCACAAATCAGACATTAGTACATCGCATATATGACATCACCACAGAATCTCCTCTCCACTAGCGTAGCTGCTACTTACCTCATGGCCAGATTTATGGTGGTTCTTTCCTCCTGAAGGAAAGATTTGAAGTTTGCTGAACTTACAGCCATTTCTCCTCTGTTTTTCTCCGTGTCTGGTTCGATGACATCACTTTAGTGATGCGCATTTAGAGTCCTGGACATATTTTCACAAAAAACCTAAAATAGCGTTTCTCCCAGTCTGAAAATTAGCCCGTTCTTGGTATCAAAAAGCGTCTTTAAAAATCACGGACATCATTAGCGAAATCCATGGTGAAATCCATTAGCCCCATTGACTTGCATTCATTTTTTCTCGCTGACAGCTTTTTCGCTGTCCCTCATTCTAGGTGTCGTACTCACGGGGACCGGGCTTTCTCAGTCCTAGCATCGTCACTCTGGAACCAGTTGCCACTCTCAGTTAGGCTGTCCCCATCTCTGCCAGTCTTTAAGAGTCGCCTAAAAACACACCTCCTCCGCTTGGCGTTTCCTGAACATGTTTGATTTTGGCTCTCTTTAATATTGAATTTATTTCACAGTTTTCATTGGTTCACTCTATCCATTGTTTTACACGTTTGTCCTGTACCAGAATGTTTCAACTTTTTTGGTAATTTGTATTTTGTAATTTGAATTGCTTTTATTTTTGATTTATTCAATATATTTACCTTCTACTGTACCATGTTCAGTGCCTTGGGCTTCCTGACAGGGTTGCAGAAGGCGCTTTATAAATAAAGCTTTGATTGATTGATTGATTTTCATTCTTCTGGGAACCCATGGTCCAGAAGTAGAAGTAGCAGGCTCCCTATGTTTGTCAGCTGGTCTGGGAAGGCCTTAGGATTGCTCCAGAGGAGCTGGCCCAAGTGGCAGGAGAGAGGGAATGTGTATAGTCTATATTTAGGATGTAGTGAACCTTTAAATCATTTTAGCTCAGATTTATTTTTGTCACCAAAAAACAAACAAACATATTTTTTAATTGATCAGAATTTAATTTAATTTTTAAGACTTGCATGGCAAATCAAATGACTGTAGAAATAAGTGATAAACTACATTGCTATATTATAAGGACACACATGAGGAATGTGCCTTATATAACACTGTTTTTATACATAGCCTTATGCTACAGACTCCATGTTTAAGAACCACCTCTGAGTTAGCCTTAGAGTTTCCCCCATGGCCGCAATTTAGCTGCTAAATGTTTCCATAGCTGACTTTGCAGATGTTTTCCAGAGGTTGACTTAAACCACTGTTTGACTAGAGACGGTTTTGCCCACCAAAGCAGAAAAACTGCTCCAGGCAAAGCCCAAATCTGTATCTTTGGAAAGAAAACATTCCTTTTGACCAATTTAATGCTATTTAGCATGCCCCAGAAACATTTAGAAGCACCGGAGGGACCAACTGGTGAATCAGCAACAAAACATAACAGATCAACATGCAGCATATGCATTTTTTAATTCAAACAATAGGCCTAGTTAGCAGCGTTTACGTACCTGCATAGTATCTATTCATAATGAGGTTTTCGGTTCCGTTTCAGGGTTAATATCCTATAATCATCATTGCATGTGCCAATGCACATAATGCCATCGTGCAAGTTCCATAATAAGCTTTGTTCTGTCACATAAATAATATGTTACAGTAAAAAACGTCTAATTGATCGTTATGTCGAGTCAGTCAAGACTTTTCAAGTTTGATATTAATTGCACGATACAGAAGGACTGTTCCAGAGCATTTATCAAATGGTTTTAATGCAGCATTAAGTAGGGCATGAGATGAAAGTCATGACAGATCAAAACTTGCCCTCGTCAGTGTGGGCTGAATCAGCTCCTTTGGGGCAAATGTGCAGAGCAGGCTCTTGGGCCACAGGCGAGACAAATTGCTGCTCCCAGTGGAGCTGCAACAACTAAAGATAGATGAGACCTTTCTCCAGAAGTGAATGGATCTTCAGCTCTAACCGTGTCCCAGATCTCAGTGACCACCCACAGGTAAGTCTCTAATCCTTTGGTAAAGGGCCCCACTGAGAGATGAGATCTACTTCCACATTAATCATTCCTGCGACACAAATGTCTCCCTCAAATATGCGATTATCACAACACGGAGTCAGCAGTTTGCATGGCAGGTTTTAGGCGTGGAAACAGAACAGGTCGCCCTGTTTTTGTTTACAGCTAAACACCAGGGCGTGGAGCGGAGCTGCTGCTGCAGATGCAGCTGAAAGTAAAATATGAGATTACTCTTCCCACTTCTGTCCAGAATTGTGTCTTATCGTCTGTCCTCCACATTTTACTGGACAAAAGCTAATCCATGGCATTAGGCTTCTTCATTTTTAAGAAATGTCATGTGCATTTTTAATTTATATTCATTTAATATATTCAAAAAATGTACCAAATTGAGTGTACTAAATAATTATGAAATTTTAATTTAATCAATGATCATGATCGCACTGGAATTTAGACAAGGGAAAAGGTTTAAAATGAATCTGTATGTGTGTCTGACAAATGGTAATTATATATAAATTGATTATTTCTATTGGAAAAGGGGGCAGAAATTATAAGATGTTTTCCTTCATTCTGCTCCTTTTTGTTCAAATTTGATTTTTTGTTATGTATTTCTTATTGTTTATATGTTTTATTTGTTTTTATTTTGAATGAAATAAATGAAGAAAAAAATATTTTTAGCCACTTACTCATTACAATTATTTAATAGCTCACAATGACAGTGATGAGTAGCTGCTTTTGGGTTAAAAACAGCAGCTCATAACAGTTCAAAACTTAAAATGTAGACATCTGGGTAGATTTATACAACCTTAGTTTATTAAACTTAAAATAGATTCTTACCATTTGCCTTACAGGACATATGGAGTACTGTAACTATGCTACAGTGAGGCAAATCAGTATTTGGCAGCCACTGATGAAAAAGATAAGAGAGGTCTGTGATTTTCATCAGAGGTACAGTTCAACTGTGACAAAAAAATAAAAATAATAATTAAATAAAAAAAATACATTTTATGATTTCTAAAGGTCAACTTTGCTCATATTTTTAACACATTTGCAGCAGTCTCTAGTTGTACCCTGGGGAAAAAATAGCTCCGGTGCACCTGCTTGTGGACGAAGAAGTCAGTCAGAGGAGAAAGTGGCAGAAGACGACAGGAGTTGGGCTCTTATTTCCTGATATTTGGACATCTGTCCTCTGATTGGCTGAGAGCAACACAACTCTACCATTGACTCGGTTTGATCTGCAACACTGATGTTTAATCTCCACAAATAACACAAGTCTAGAGAGGTTTCCCATATAATGGAGTTGCTAATGCTAACAGTTAGCTTCTACTAGCCAAGATCTGCTGTTTCCTGGATGCTAAAACAGCAACAGCATTCCCCGTCGTGATTTAAGTTGGCCGAGTCCATGAACGTTCAGTGATCTGTCAGGCTTTTCTGAACTGAGCGTTTTTCTGTCTATTTTCTATCAAAAGCTAATGCAGGAAATAGGGGTAGAAGACCAGTTTCACATTCAGCCTGCAGAGTAAAAAAATAAATCATAAAAAATGGTTTCTCCGTGAACCTGCTCTTTAAAGAATGTATTTGTATAATAATGCCAAAATAAGAATCTCTCTCATAACCTGTCTTACTGGCTCCTGTTTGAACTTGTCATCTGTTTAAAAGACGCCTGTCCACACCTTCAATCAGCAAGACTCCAACCTCCACCATAGCAAAGGCCAGAGATTTGTCTAAAGGACACACCAGGGACAAGACTGTACACCTGCACAAGTCTGGGATGAGCCAATCTACAATCAACCGTTGGAGCAATTAATACAAGATCTCTGACAATCTCCCTCGACCTGGGGCTACATGTGAGATCTCACCTCACGGGATAGAAATGGTTTTGAGAACAGTGAGAAAACAACCCAGAACTACATCAATGACTTGAGGTGAGCTGGGACCACAATACCAAAGGTTCCTATTGTAACACACTATGTTGTCATGGATAAAAATCCTGCAGCACTGGAAAGGTCCCCCTGCTTAAGCCAGCACGTGTCCATGCGCATCTCGATTTTGTTTTCATCACCAAATTCGGTATTTTCAAAAAGGCGCTGTCTCAGGAATAAGAAGAGTTAGTACTGCTTTGATCAGCTTGTTGAAAGATCTTGGAGTCCCTTAAAATGGCATTTGGATCAGAAATCTTTATGTGGTGACTTTTCACCATGATTATTAATGAAATGTGATCCAGTTCAATTAGAAAACAGATCCTAAATGTAAATGGAAGCAAGTCTGAAAATGTGATGCCTTGCTACATGAAAAAATCTGAAATCATAAGTTAGTTATGATAAAAATAATTGATGTTAGTCAATAGGAAATTATTTTAATAACTTTATTTTATCATTCAGACACCAAGAATAATTACATTTCCCTCTCCATCCTCGTTACATTTAACCAAATCAGCTCTCCTAATTATGCATTATTATGAAATAATCTGAGATTATGAAGAATTCGATACAATTATAAACAACATTTTTATGCTTTTTCAGAGACGAAAGCCTTAAAAACTCAGGAGAAAATCTAAATGGATAAAGGATCCGATGCAGCCAAGTTTCTGTCGAGGTAAATGTAATATAACTGGACAATGTTATGCAATTTGAGTGTTCAGATGTGCTGACATCTGCTGTGTGGCTCATGTTATTACATACATTTACATAAGTAATGAGACTGCAAGGGGCAGAACACTACATAGTTAGCCTTTGGGTCAATGACTCCGCTGACCTATGAGCACAGCAGCTGTAGCACACAAGCTGAACCCTGTTAGCTACATCCGTACCTGAGCCCTCATCCCAGAGGCTGTTTCTTTGGAACAACAGAGAAAAATCAGTGCTGAAGAAATGGACATCATTCTATGTGTCCTCAGAGATGTGAACATGACATTAATGAGCTGCATGTGGTCTGCCTTCCCAATCGCTGCCATAGAGCCCAGGGTATCCACCCTGGTGGTTCTGGACCCGGTGGGCACGCTCACAGCTTGAGCAACAAGCACCAGAGCAGAAACGAACGTTCCAGCTGGCTGACTGAGGAATACTGAGGGCTACTTGATGAGCATGTTGTTGGCTTGCCGTTATGCAGCATGCCGTCCTCGGAGGGATGGATATTTGGAAGAAATGGTCTCAATTAGTGGGATTTCCACTGACATATATGCTTATTGCCATTTGGGCATGATTGAACAAAGACTCCCACACAGGGGAGGGTATTTCCATAATGAGCCTGCAGAAAGTGACCAGACTACATCATGATCCTGCTGCTGGTTTGTTATTTCTACAAGCCACAAAGCCGCTGATGACCAGCAGATACTGACTTTGTAAAACTGCTGCAGCGATGGAAAAAATGTATTTTTCTTGGTAAAATCTACCCAAACACTCAATATTTGACGGGAAAATATATAGCAATTCTGACCACGCTACTGTTTTGATGAATGATTCTACTCCAACTTTTAGAATGACACCTTTAGTAAACTGAGTTATAAAACACATAAGGATTGTTTATAGGATGAGATTTGTTTTTATTTTTCACTTATTTGCAGTAAATTCAATGAAAGCATGAAATGTGGTCTAATAAAAGGCCTGTTGGCAATATGAATGTCTACGCATTGTATGGAGGCTCTGAAGCTTTTTCATAACTTTTAAACCTGTTTAGTTTTTTCCAAGCTGCTGACGGTGTTGACAGAAGGACCACACATGCCATTCCAGCTGTGATGCTTACTCGTGCCTTGTTCAAATTCTTTTTGATGCATTTCATAAAACTGATCTTTACCAAAAAAATGGAGCAAAGCCAAGTTGGAACAAATCAATTCAATATTGAATATTCAATATTATATGAAATAATATTCTATTGGATTGTCCATTGATTACTCGAGTATTTTATTTGATGACGTTTCAAGTGAAATGAGATTGTGGTCTGTTGCTAAAATTATTAAAAAAAAAAACAACAAAATGTTAAATGGATCAACAACATGTATTAAATTGATGCTGTCTTGTTCCCTTTTCCCAGCTGATATTTACAGTTAATAAATATTTTATGGAACAAAAACAGACGTATATTTCATTAAAAGTTTAGGTTTAATATCACTCATCTTAGTCTAAACATATCTAAATATATTCACATATGATCAGTAGAATTTAATTATTTCAGTAACATGTTCAGTAGTAATCTACTGGAAATTATAATAACATTTAATATCTGCTAGTAACAATGTAATGGTGGCATACCTATTTTATTATGTACCGATTGGCAACATAATCCAGTCCAAATTATAATCAAATCTAGAAGCGTTTGTGAATTACATGCTACAACGGCTTGCCGTAGCTATTGCATTAGCCAATCTGCCCGTAGCTTGACTCTTGATCCCAAACTTTGGACCATTTCTGCATTTTACAATGGTTTCTGTCTTTGCTGGTCCCTCTATTTTCCTCCACAGCACCTAGATTACAACATTGTGCTACAGTAAAATGTGTTCAGACTGTTAAAAATGAACGAGGATATTAATGAATCAAACCATTCAACTCATTGATGATTCCTTTCAGCCCTGTTCCTGTCCAATCATGCCAAGAGGCTGGAGGTCTGTTGTACTGCTCACAACCAAACTTCCTTACATAATATTTTTTAGAGAAAATAAACTGATGTAAATAAAGAACATACGTTTTGAATTAGAGCAGGATTTCATGTCTGAGACACTTAGGCTGATAAGACAAAGCCCATCATTGGTTCTTTGGAAAGGAAGCTAGAATTGGGGCCAAATGTTTTTTACATGTAGACTTGAGTTTGTAACTGTAGACTGAGATGTGCGTTTTGAGAGTTGTGATTGAAATTTGTACATTGATTATTTTCTTCAAGTTACAAAATGAAAGTTAGATGTCAAGTACCAAAAGTTATGTGTTACTAAACAAAAGTTACTTGTTACAAAACGAGAATTACGTGTTAAAAAAGTCACATGTCACAAAATGAAAGTTAGTTACAAAACATGTTACAAGTTACAAAACTTGGTACAAGTCACATGTAATATTGTCCCAATCGATATGGAAACAGATCTAGTTGAAGAACAGTTTTATTGTGTTGACATGCGCACACATAGTTGTTTTTTGTGAGCATCAGAACTAAGATTGCACACAGGATATGAAACTATTTGCTGATTTTATTTTGCTCCTTATGTCTTGGCATCAGAATCTCTCCCTCGGAATAATGCAGCATGTACACACTGCTCGTGTTTTTAATGCATTGCAATGTCTGCTAAGTTAATGTGTGTTTGCAGTTTGATGAAATCAGAGCACAAATCTTTTCTGCGTGGGTGTGAGTGACCTGGCTAACACAAAACGCCTTACCTCCCAGTCCAGGACGCAGCCTGTTGTCGTATCCATCCAACAGCCTGTCGAGGATTCGGGTAAAAATGGTGATGTTGTCTCTGCTGTCATCAGGCAGCGGCTCTTTGTGGCCGACCACTGCCCTGCTGCGAGACAAAAAAATCAAAACACGAGTCAACAAAGTGAAAGAAAAGTTGGATTCTGACAAAAATGAAACCCAAAGCAATCAAAGGCCTTCAGAGGAACTCCTGCTGCTTTTATTTATGCTCAGAGCTCTGTATTTGGGGCCACATAGATCCAAAACACTAATTATTTTGTAACGTTTAATTAATAAGTTGTGGGCAGAATTTGAACCACCCTGATTAGTTTGTTGGAGGCATTGTGTCAAACTTCATCAGCATGCTTAATACGTCTCCAACAGGAAGGTCTTAGATCAGCAATCTGCCACACGCCTCGATCAATATTGGAATGAGAATGTCGGCTTGTGTTTGTTTTGTTGTAATGTATTTACAGCCTGGTAGATTTGTATTGACAAAAAAACCCTGCCGAACTTATGTTAATTAATTGCTTCCTAAAAATAAAACGACATGTTTTAATTTTCGCTGTCAGCAGCTCTTATTAATTTACACGGCTCCCGAATCTCCTGCAGAACAATCCTGAGGTGGGATGAAAAGGCCACTTTATTGTGGGTGGAACACGGATGAGGTAATGACTCCCATCTTTAATTAAACCAAACTGCCCCAAGGAGCTGACCTATAATATCCAAATACTTCTCATCAGCCACGACTTCATGTGTTACGCTTCACTGTCGCACACTCGGACTTGCGTCATTTGCTCCAAAAGGAGCTTTAAGGATCTCATATCTTGACAATTACCATAAATGTTTTGAACAGCAGTCCTTAATTTGATCTTGCTAACTTCTTCACCTTTTGTTTTTTTAAATTGTGCTGAACTCCTGCCTCTGCAGATGGAACCCGCCAAAGTTTATGTTACAGAATGAGCAACATGAAGCATGCACCATCAGTGGCTGCTGGCGTGTTTTGGATCAGTGTGAAAATACAGAAGGAGTGAGGTGTTAGAACAGCTGCAGACTGCGCGGGCAATTATTTTTGACTGACTTTCTGAAACATTGTTTGTTTGGCTGCAAAGTCAAGACATCTGTTTGTGATTTTCTAAAATCTGTTTTTGTTGTCTTTACTGTTTCAGATATGTGGATGTTTGGATGTGGACAAAGTAGAATACAACACCAGTGATGAAACAAAAACAGTGCACTACTCAGAAATCAAGTCTTTTGACTTTAAAGCTCTCATTCTCGTGTTACTTCAATGCATTTGCTGTGGTCCCTAGAATAAATTAAGTGAGTCATTTTCTGTGAGGAGAAAAAGCTCTGGCGCTCCTGTTTCAGGATATGGAAGCTAGTTGGAAGCAAAGAGGGCAAAAAAGAAAAGAAAAAGCCAGGATTTAGAATCGTACTCATTATTATTCATACCATTCAGACGTTTCGCTTCTGATTGGCTAACGGCAACAGACTGCAGCACTGACTTTGCTTCTCTGCAACGCTGATGTTTCATCTCCACAAATAACACCAGCCTGAAGGAGTTTATCCATGTTGTGGAGTTGCTAATTTCGATTTTATTTTGGTAATTTAAAAGGAAAAAGAAAGAATACAATAAAACAGAATCTCAATTCTAGTAACCAAAAAGGTGTAGGCTGAAGACTAGCTTTTTATGCCTACCCTATTTACTCAGTCACATTACTTATCATGAAACAATGACAAAGAAAGATAAAAGTAATGTAGTAATAAAAATGAAAATAAGATAAAAGCAATACAAATGCTAATCATAATTGAAATATTGTGAACAACAACAAACATAAATCAGCAAGAGGAAAAATACACAGAACTAAAGACAGAACTATACAAAACTACCAGTAATCGTAATAAATCGATGTACGATATAGATCAAAATAGAAATTTGAATACTATCACTTGTGCAAGAACATTACATTTTCATTGACATCTACCAGACACACTAGACTACATATGATCCTTATGGAAGTCTTCGTCTTCGTCTTCCTCCGCTTATCCGGGTCCGGGTCGCGGGGGAAGCATCCCAACTAGGGAGCTCCAGGCCGTCCTCTCCCCGGCCTTGTCCTCCAGCTCCTCCGGCAGGACCCCAAGGCGTTCCCGGACCAGATTGGAGATGTAACCTCTCCAACGTGTCCTGGGTCGACCCGGGGGCCTTCTGCCGGCAGGACATGCCCGAAACACCTCCCCGGGGAGGCGTCCAGGAGGCATCCTGACCAGATGCCCAAACCACCTCAACTGGCTCCTTTCAATCCGGAGGAGCAGCGGTTCTACTCCGAGTCCCTCCCGAATGTCCGAGCTCCTCACCCTATCTCTAAGGCTGAGCCCGGCCACCCTACGGAGGAAACTCATTTCGGCCGCTTGTATCCGCGATCTCGTTCTTTCGGTCATTACCCAAAGCTCATGACCATAGGTGAGGATTGGGACGTAGATCGACCGGTAAATCGAGAGCCTGGCTTTCTGGCTCAGCTCCCGCTTCCCCACGACAGATCGGCTCAGCGTCCGCATCACTGCAGACGCCGAACCAATCCGCCTGTCGATCTCCCGATCCCTCCTACCCTCACTCGTGAACAAGACCCCGAGATACTTAAACTCCTCCACTTGAGGTAGGACCTCTCCCCCGACCCGGAGGTGGCAAGCCACCCTTTTCCGGTCGAGAACCATGGTCTCAGATTTGGAGGTGCTGATCCTCATCCCAGCCGCTTCACATTCGGCCGCGAAACTCATAGCTCCTAGGATCATTAGGGCACTCAAACTCCTCCACCACGATAAGGTGACAGTTCAAGGAGGAGCTTATGGAAGTATGACATCATCTTATTTACGTACATTTTTTTGAAAGATTTTACAGTGCTACATGACCTGATTCCAGTGTCCAAGTTATTCCAAAATTTGACTCCTACTGCAGTACAACTCTGACTCCTAAATACTAATGGTTAGCTACTAGCCAAGATGTGCTCGCTGTCTCCTGGATGCAAGAATCGACACAGTCAGTCTGTAGGTGAAACTCAGTTACTAATCATATTTCAAGGTGTGAAACACTTAATCAATACATTTGGTGTGGTCTCTAGAAGGAACGAATGCCTTGTAAATCATACTCTGGTTAAATATAAAACAAAACTCTGGTGCACCAGTTTCAGGAACTAGAAGCGAGCCACATCAGAGCTGGTCTTCAGACAGCAGGTTTTACTCTTAAGTCTTATTTCTTGATGTCTCGCCTCGGATTGGTTAACTACGGTGGCCCTGAAGTGCAAACCACAAAAACAAATCACTTAACGCAACAATAAATTGAAAAGCGCAACAACAAATTCACTAAACACAAAAACAAATGTGATTTGTGTTTGCATTAAGTGATTTGTTGTTGCATTAAGTGATTTGTTTTTGTGGTTTGCACTTCAGGGCCACCGTAGTTAACAGCTTCATGACTCTATCACCGACTCCATTTTCTTTGCAACGTGGATGTTTTTAATCCCTACAAATAACACAAGTTTGGAGGAGTTCTGCTGTGTGTTGGAGCTGCTAATGCTAACGGTTAGCTCTTACTATTCCAGACATTTTCTGCCGTTTCCTGAACGCCAAACCAACAACATTCTTCCCTGTCGCGAGATGGGTGAGTCCATGAATGATAAGTGACAGTGTGATGGTAGATCTGTCAGGTTCACAGTCTATTTTCTATCAGAAGCTAATGCAGGTGATAGGTGTAGGAGACTATTGTCATGTTCGGCCTGCATGAAAACTCAGAGTGACCAATTCTAATCAGAAATAACATGCTTTTAGAAACTAACCAGTTTAAAAAAATAGTTTCTTAGTGAAATAGCCTTTAAGCTCAGAACTTTGATTCTTTGCTGAATAAGACACAGTGAGATATTATCTGTCAAAGATAAATAAGGACAAAAAAACATACTAAATTAAAGGAATGCAATATGTTTTTTCCATTTTTGTATTCTGGTATAAATATTTCATTTGTGGCTGAATCTTAATTTGATTTTACTTTGTGCAAAAACAATTTGCTGTGATTTTGAGAGTTTAGCTAAAATCCATCCAGTGGTTCATGAAATATTTTGCTCACAAAGGTAAGTCCACCAGGTATTGGCATAATCTTAAAGATTACATGCACCCTGGGTAAAACCCTCAACATTGAAGTTCTGAATCTACAAAACTAACTAAGTCTACCTCATGTTTACTCACTCCTGTAAGATTTGTAATCCATCTTAAATCAGCTGACCTCAAAAGTTATTGATGTCTAATGATTACGTTGAGCGAGTGTTTACACACACAGGCAAAAACATGATCACACACCTTTTAAAGCAGGCATTAAAAAGTGCTCATAAACAGTAAAACAGAAAAACAGGTTTTCATTGATTTTTACTCAAAACACATTAAATATTCAGAGCTTAAAGCAGCTCAGGAGCACTGGTAAAACACCAAATACTAAAAAGCTTTAGGACTGCAATAAGAAGTCACTTAATCATGAATCATATATCAAACAAAAAGCCTCTGTGGCCTCTCTGACAGCCGCAGTGCAAATTCAAAAATTAATGAGAAACCTTTAGTCCCCAAGAAAGCGTCGGCCCCATGCTGAAATGTGCACTCTAGAAAAACAAAGCTGTTCTGTGGTGAGTAGCATCTGCATGTTTCATTGGAGCACACACACACACACACACACACACACACACACACACACACACACACACACACACACACACACACACACACACACACACACACACACACACAGTTGGAGCCAGCTGTTTAAATCCACTGATGGTTGACAAAGAAATGGGACATTCCTTCTGAATGTGACATCCTTTTTTCTGCTTAAACACACACGCTTTACGCTCATGTCAGCTGCTTGTTTTTCTTCTTCTGTTCTCTTTGGTATTCACTTAAATTCAAAATGCATAGGGAATGAGGACGAGACAAAATAGTCATTATATTCCCGAACTATTTACCCACGAATAAAATAAAAAAATAGATCAATCCCTTTTTCCAACGGTTGACATTTTTGGAAAGTCTGACTGTGGCCTGAAGCAGAATTTATAATAAACTGTAGAAATAGAGGAC